GCCTCCCATCCCGGCAGGCAGGGGGGGCGGGGGGGAGCCGCTGCCTCGGTGCAGCCACATCCACAGCAGCCCTTGCCCTGGCCCTGGCCTGGCCCTGTCCCAGCTCTGCTTCTCCACCCGCTCCTGTGCCAGGGATCCTGTCTGAGCCCAGCTCCTCGCAGCTCTGCTCCGCTGCTCTTGGCAGCAGTTCACCCCCCGCCGCAGCGAATCCATCCTGCCCATTAGCAGCTGTGGCCGGATGAGCAGGGATGAGGCCAGGGAGGAGGATGAAGGCCTGGTGCCAGCCCAGCTCTGCTGCTGCTGCTCAGCACAGGGGCAGCGGCAGCCCCAGGGCAGCGCCCGGCCCCACTGCTACCCCCGGGGCTGCAGAGCTGCCCCTGCAACGTGCAGCTCCCTGGCACATCTGCCACCCAGGGTCCAGCTGCCCTGGGCTCCTTGTCCCTCCCCAGCCCAGCCCTGTGGCTGCTCAGTGCCCAGGCTCCCCACAGGGCCTGTCCCCGCTGCGGGACGGCACCGGGATTGGGTGCTCCTGCATCCCGCTCCTGGGCGCGGGATGGAGGTGTTTGGGCAGCTCCCGGGAAGCCGGGACAGGGTCTCTCTCCCCATTCTGGTGCCCCTGTCCCAGCTCCGATGGTGCCCGGCACTGCCGTTCCCACCAGGGCCGGTTCCCACAGCCTCCGGCACTGGGCAGGACAGGCAGGGAGAAGTTGCCATTGCAACATTTTCCTTGGGTGTAGCAACCCCCAGCGTTTTACCACGGAAATCTGCCTTCTTGCAGGCTGTTTACTGCCAAGAGCAGGAATATTCGTTCCGGTAGCTATGGCGACGTGGGCATCTCTGTGGGAACCGGCCGGGGGGAAGTTGAACGCTGTAAACACCAAGCTGGACAGAAAACAAGCACTGCCCTCCCGCACCCCATCGCACGAGACGAGCTGGGGGACAGGGCCGGGGAGCCGCTGGGACCTGGGGCTGCAGTGCCACACAGCTCCATGGATGAGCTCTGCTTCCTGGGGTGCATGGATGGGCTGCGCATCTCGGGGTGCACGGATGGCTCCACATCCCGGGGCGCATGGATGGGTCGGGCATCCTGGTGGGCTGCGCATCTCGGGGTGCACGGATGGCTCCACATCCCGGGGCGCATGGATGGGCTGCGCATCCTGAGGCGCATGGATGGCTCCGCATCCCGGGGCCCATGGATGGCTCCGCATCGCTGGATGCGCTGGCCCTGCCGCCCCAGCAGTGCCAGTCCGTGCTGGGCGCTCTGCCCTGCCCAGGCAGGGTCCCCATCCCAAGCCCTGGGGCTGGTGGCAGCCTGGGGATGGCTCCGCATCGCTGGATGCGCTGGCCCTGCCGCCCCAGCAGTGCCAGTCCGTGCTGGGCGCTCTGCCCTGCCCAGGCAGGGTCCCCATCCCAAGCCCTGGGGCTGGTGGCAGCCTGGGGCACCAGCCGCCCCGATCCGGAGCGGGGCAGGTTCCTCGCAGGGCTGCGAGGCCCCGTTCCGTGGTGCAAGAGCCGCCTCCGCGCGGCCCTGAGGAGGCCGGTGGGCACTCAGAAAGGGGAAGCATGGAGGGCACTGGGGCTTTTCCAGCCTTGCAGCTTGTGCGTGGGGCCCATGGGCCAGTGCTGTGGGTGCAGCGCCCGCCAGGGCCTCCCCTGCTGCGGTGCGGGATCGGCCCCTCGCATTCAGTTCCCCTGGGGTGGCCAAGGGTCATCTTTGGCTCCTGCTGATGCCAGGCAAGGGGCCTGCGAGCCCCACGCTGCTATTTCCCTGCTCCAATAAACACCCCTAGCAGCAATAGGAAAAAGGAAAAAAAATCAGTTTTCATCAGAATAAAACTCTGGAGGTTATTTGCTTGCAGTCAATAGCTGCAAAACGAGGTTGTTAGCCCTGGCTGGCGGGGGAGCTGAGCAGGGCTGGAGAAACAAGCACGAGATCTCACTGCTGCCCTGGAGACACAAGAGCATCCCCGAGCCCCACGGGCAGGCCCATCTGCAGCATGGGGACACGCAGGGGCCCTACCACACTGCAGGGGACACGCAGCCCCTCAAAACAGCTATCCCTGCCCTTCCTAGCACAGTATCTGCAGCAGAGGTGGGGCCTTTGCTCCATTTCTTTGCCCATCACCGTGGCCTCAGGCTCTGGCTGCTCCTGCACGTCCCTCATCCGCATCCCCATCCTCCCCCCGTTAGCTGCAATTTCCTTGAAAGCTGCCAGGCTTCACTGGGGCCCCTTTGCAAATGAAGGGAGACAAAAACAAGCAGGTCTGCATTTATTCCACTGTAAATTAATGCACTCTTATTTTAAGGTATCAGTGAATGAGGCCAAGTTGTTAAGTGACAAAAGAAAAATGATTCTTGCCTTCCAGGGTTATTAAAATCATGTTCTACAATTTTAGCAGCCACAAGGAAGCCCAGATAATGACAGATGATGATAATACATCTCCGGCACAGCCTGGTCTATAATGATACTGCCCATATCTCTTGTATTACCACCAATTACTCAGCGTATAAGTATAATGAAAATGTACATCCATTCTGGGGAACTGCATTTGCTTCCCCTGAATCCAATTTCGGCCTCCTCAAAGAGGCGGCTGCAGGAGCTGCTGGAATAGTTCGAGCAGCTCTGCTTTTGTAGCAGCGGCTGCAGGGCCTGGGAGGGCTGGAGAGCCCTGTCCCCCCCAGCAGCATTTCTCTATAGGGGGTGTGGGGCAAAAAGCAAAAATCCCCCCGGATCTGCTCCTGGAAAAGCATATTCCTTGCTCTGAACGCTGAGATGGCCACACGGCTGCAGCACAGATGCCTTTAACCCTGCTAAGGCAGGATGGAAGTGGAAGCAAGGCAGCGACAAAGTGGCCACCGGGTTATGTGCCAGATACACCCCAGTGCAGCACCTGCAAAACGGCTCTTCCAGCACAAGATAAACTTGGATATATACTTCATCTGGATTCTATTATCTTCCAGTTTATTCAGGTCAAGAAGCAGGAGACAACACCTTTAAAAACAAAAACATAATCTTTGGGAAAATTGAAAATATAGATCAGTGTTTGGGCTGGAAGCAGGTGTGTGTTTGAGATCATTGTTTGGGCTGGAAGCAGGTGTGTGTTTCCCACTGCCGAAGCGCAGCCTATTCCCTCCGCCTCCGTCTCGAGGGGGATGCAGATCCAGAGCCCTCCCGGTGTCACACGCTGCAGCAGGAGCGCGTGCGCCGATGGGCACAGGGGCCAGGGCTGCAGCACGTGGGGAGCCACGGGCACCCCAAGCACCGAACTCACTGCAAGAGGGAAAACCACCCCAAAACGGGGCCGTGATGCCCCGGCCTGCACCAGTGCTTCTCCTTGGCACAGAGATGCAATACTAGCCGACTCCGTAAAACAAGCCTCCAGTTAGGAGAAATTGGCCTGTTATTTCATAATTTTAATGCCCATTCTTTTTCATAACTCTGTATAACACCTAGGTGTTTTTAATCCATAATTAAAACCCTTCCTGCTCTAAGCTACTCCATGGCAGCATCCCAGTCACCTCCTGTGAGCAGACTGTACTTCACAGCTAAAGTTCACGTGAGTTATTAAAGAACAGAGCTGCACTTATTAATTATTGCATTAATATTAATGGCCATTAATGACTGGCATCCCGACTTACCATGTTCCCAAGGAGTTAATATTTTAGAG